GTTGGACTTTTATGGTGAAATAGTGTGTGACACATGGTGGCACAACAGGTTTTTGCCCCTGCCCTGTAGACAACACAAAATGTCAGAAACAATTTGTTATGTATGTACGCTTATGACAAGGTAAGGAACTCCCTTAAAATTGTATTGGAATTGAGCTGCATTAAAACACTATATGTGAGCACAGAGAGCAGGAGAGAAGTAATCATGTAAAATACATCTGCACCAAAGACCTCCTGCCAGTTCGTAGTAAAACTGAAGCATTTTTAGCATCGACGTCATTGATCATGCCAACTAATCACGGCAGTTGATTGATTTTTAAAGTTGTTTGCACCATTTGAATTGTTTGCACTTTTACAAAATGTCATATTTGTTTTTTAGATATGCCAGAGACATTCAAAACACAGCGGCAGAATTATCAGTCGACCAGTTTTCAAGCTGAAGAGAGTTAAAGGGTTTATAAATGCTGGATTAATCAAGTTATCGTCTCTTTTGTTGCACACTTTCTCTGCATAGGACTCCCTCCGTCAGAAGGAGGATCGCATTGAGGAGCTGGAGGAGGCGCTGAGGGAGAGCGTTCAGATCACAGCAGAGAGGGAGGTGGTCCTCGCCCAGGAGGAGCAGGCGCGAACACAATCCGAGAAACAGGTACCGTTTATTTCAGCAGCTCACACACACACACTGGTGTTGCTGCATGCGTACGGAGAAACCTAAACCCCTAAACGTGTGACCCGAACCTTCCCTGAAACTCAACCCCTGTCAGTTATTCTTTCACGCAGACATAAATGTCATCACTTCTGAGGATTTCCTTCATTTTACTGCCTTTCTGGAGCACTTGAAGAAAGCACATACAGAAAACATCTTTAGGGCGACACAGCTAAAAGCGGCTAATGGAAGCAGCAACACACATGCCAACTGAGCTCATTCAGGTGTGGCTCAGTGTGTGTGTTTGCCCAGTCACTCTTCATTTGCAGGGGAGGTAAATACGTCTCTATTTAAAGAACAGCTTGCATTTTGTCCGCTTCGGCCTGCAACACACAAACAGCCTTTTTTTTTTTTTTTTTTAAAGGGCGCACGAGCCGACCACTCCAATTTGTAACGTTTTTTATCTAAATCGAGACAGTAGGAAAGCTCATAGCAGTGTTGAGGGAGGCTCTGAAGGGAAGGGTTTTGGTGGATTCAACCTCAGACCACTGGGAGTGTGTGTGTTGTTGTTCCCCTGGGTACCAGCGACTCGACGAGGCCACAGAGAAGGGAAATGTTCCCCGGTGCCTCGATGGGTTTTGACAAGTGGGGGGAAAAAAATAGCATGGGCCGTAAGGACGAAAACTGCCCTGAGAAAACACGGGCTGCTGTAGCTGTTGGCAAAACGGCTGGACTCCATTGTTATTACTGCCTCTAAATGTTGGCTGTCTCTTCTGGCCTTTACTTACTGGACTACCTCTGGACGGACACATAAAGACAGGCATGCAAACAGATGTTTCACTTTTGTGTTTCGCCGTCATCCGTTGTAAATGCTAATGAGCAGGACGCCGCAATAAGTTCCAGACAGACAGATGCAGCTGAAGAAAGACAGATCCTCAGCAAAGACAAACAGATGTAAGAAGACGTGATGGACGCACAAAGGCAGACACATGGTCGATAGGTTATCGTCTAGAATAACACTGCGCTCTACCAGTTTGGCGTCTCCAACTTTGTCATTTCAAATTCTAGTCGCGACCCCCCGAGATTTTCAAAGTACAACGGGAAAACATGTTTAAAATGATGCCCACGACAGGTTGGATTTGCCTTTTGATGTAGTGATGCAACGAAAGAGAAACAGCGTTTTGGATTTGGAGATTTGACACTCCTGGATTTTGTTTCAGCTTTAATAAAGGGTTCGAACAGGCAGATGAGGAAAATGTGAGTTGAAGTCAGGAAAAAGCAGTTTATTAAATTATTATTTTGTTAAGAGTGAATTTAAGAGCAACAGCGGGAACATGTGGTTTAGAATTTGCTTGCTTTCACATCAGTAAAAATGCTTTTTGTCGTGCTTAAATATCAATAAAACATTACTTCATGTCTTTCCCACATATATACATAGACACATTTTTCACTGTAGGGACTTTTATAGGTGCTCGGGGACCCTAATTTCATTTTAACCAGAAGAGCAAGGGTCTTTATTTAGCTCTTTAACCATAGTTTCTGAAGCCAAGACAGTCCCCACTCTGGCTGTAGCACGTTTTGATGCCACAAGAAAAGTTCACGGACCATCTTTTGACGAGCCATTCGTCACAGATTGGTCAAAGCGGCGCTTGCTGCTCCTTTAAATCACCTAAAACTTCAATCACACACAGTAAGCAATGATTAGTCGCCACAAATATCAATATAAGAAGAATAGATGGGCATTTTTTGTAAGCAGGGAGCCATTGAGAAAGAGGCTAAATGAGCTGAAAGCAAATGAAAGATAAATGTATCAGCAATTGAAAGAACAAAGCAGGTGAACAAAAGAAAGAAACTTAATTTTCTACCTTTTTTTTAAAATTGTGCTTGTGTAGACATCATCTCCATTTTGCAGACAGCTGCTCAGGAGTTTTCAGTGCCCTTTTCAACCTCAGCATGTCTGTTTGCAACGATTTATTGATTCAGACATCAAGGTTGTGTGCTAATTGCTGCTGTATTTTTAAGCTGTTACCAGAATAATTTGTCTGCTCATTACATGCAGCAGGGATGTGCAAAGAGGACTTTGTAGTGTAGTTCCTGAGTTTAGTCGCCCCTTTGTTCCTGGTCAAAATAGCTTATACATTTATAATCTGTGGTTTTATTACTATGCATCACAACACAGACAGTTGCAATGAAGGTTTGGGGTCTTTTTCAAAGCAAAGAGGGTCTAAACGTTGAGGGTTTTGCAATGTCGAGGACTAGATCAAGTGAATGTAAATACAAAAAAAGTCTTGATCGTGCTTTAATTTGTTTACAGCAATAGTGCCAAGGTATCGCATTGAATCTGGCAGGGAAACATTGAAATACTTCAAAATGCTACAAGTGGCAGCTCTAATTAGACAGAGCAGAGGCCATTTAGGCCAGCGCAGGGTCCTGGAGAGCGTCCTCATGCTAAAATGCTTCAGTGAAGGAGGAAGGAGCAGAAAACGTCAGTGTGTGGCGAACGAGTGGCGATGGCAGCCAAACACTCAGTGCAGCCCTCTCCCAACATCAACAGCACTAACTCAACCTTTCAGCGCAGACACGCACGCACATGTGTGTATGTGGCACTTCCAGACAGGACAGTAACACACAAGACAAGCGGACCACATGCATGCATGCTTCTTCAAACACGCGCGCACGGCCGAAAGACGTGCTAACTGCTATTTAAACAGCACGCCGACGCTGGACAACATGGCATTCAGCAGGAGCCAGATGGACGCAACTTTGGTTTTTCGAACTGGAAACGTGTCTCTATATCCACAAGTAAATTGTAAATAAATATTTTTGTGTTCCCTTTTTTTACGAGTGCGTCACTGCAATTTACCTCTCACATAATGATTTATAAAATGATGACAGAGGGAGACAATTTCCTCCCCTAATGAGGCCGGCCTGTTCAAAGGCACACACATTGCTTATTATAGCGTTGGCACTCTCGCACATGCAAATGCAGCCAAACCAGGCACATTTATACATACACCCTGACTCCATATTGGTAGACGTACACACTGCACACACACATTTTTATGCGCAGCTATATATTGACGACACGTGTGTGTGTGCGTGTGTGTGTGTGTGACTGTCCTGTGAACGGGGTTTGACCAACACCACATGAAAATATACTAAACCTTTTTCTGCTAGACATGAGTCACTACTGTACGTGTGATCACTGGAGAAAGGTGTGTGTGTGTGTGTGTGTGTGTGTATGTGTGTGTGTGTGTGTGTGTGGGTGACAGAGAAATGAGTCAACAGTATGACACACTCCATCTGTCTCTTCCGAAACCAAACTAAAGACAGACGTTCTCCTCTCCAGCTTCCCGTCTTTTATTAACCAGACAATTTTAATTCTTGACCTCAGTGCACCTTCTTCTCTCTTTCATCCTTTCCTACTCTTAACCCTCTGAACCCCAAAACGTGCCAGCAGGTTTGAAAAGCATGTTATCTTTATTTTTTTAAAAAGCACTTGCCAAAATTTCAGAATTTATCAGAGCCAAAAGCTCTGAAAACAGAATCGTCGGGTTTGGAGCTCATCTGAGACATGTCGTTCAGTAGCAAAAAATAACCAAATCTGAGCCTGAAATTATTACATGTCGTCAAAATCACTTTATTTTACACGAACCCCAAAACCCAAAGGCAGATTAGAAAAACATAATATCTTTTAAAAATAGTTTATATAAGTCAGAAACCATAAAAACAGACAGAATGGCCAGAGTTTCACTATTCCAACGTGTTGTGTTACTTTCAGTCAAGAAAATGAACCAAATCCAAATTTAAAATCACAATATATCATTAAAATCACTTTATTCTACATGTCTTATTTACAAATTGGTCATAAATAAATCAATTTCCCTTATGCACTTGTAAGAGAAACTAAGAAGCCACTCGTCAAGTGAAAAGAAACCAGGGGCTTTATTGTTGGATTGACTGAACTGCAGGCAGTGTTTATGTTGAGCAGATGCGAAACAGGTATGGAAACAAGCAGCAAAATAGATTGTCCTCAGTAACACCTGTGAGCACATGCAAACATGTTGTACATGTTTATTCCTGGGTTTTTCTGGGGTTGTTTTGTTTTGTTTTTTTCATTTTTGTAAAATAATCAAAGAAATTCAACTTTCATTTGCATTTCCTATGATTTATAGCATTATAACTGTGTCATATTACACAGAAGACAAGTTTGAGTTTTGTACTTTGAGCCATGGTTGTGCTGTTTCCATGGAGGTGCAGGACTTTATATTGCAGTGAAAAATGAGCCCACAGTGAGTGAAAATGCAGCAGGGGCAAAAAAAAGAAGAAAAAACGCCCAGAAACTGACTGAGGTTCAGAGAATTGAAATGAAGTTGAAATCGCTCTCACATGGAGAACACTGAAGGGGTTGCTGTCCTCCTCTCATCCAGCGTCTTCATTCCCAGCCGGGCCTCGTCACTCCTCACCCCTCCCTGCATCCCTCCATCCTCCTCCCCCATCTCTCTCCCTTTCTCTTTCCTCTCAGTCGGCGTCGTCAGTCCCATGTTTTCCTCCGCTGCCCTCATCTCTTTCCATTGTGTCTGAACAACCTTGTTAATGCTGCCGATGTTTCTGCCTGCTCAGTGTTTTGCACTCCGTCTGCATTTTCCTCTATCTCGTTATCTCTCTTTCATGTGCTTAGCATTTGCTTTTCATTAATTCTTACTCTCTTTTGCTTTATCTTCCACTTAATCTTCGGTTACGTGTCTTTTTTCTGCTTTTACTTCCTGTATGTCTGCCGTTCTGTTTTCCTCCTCTCTCTCTGCAATCCTTTCTGTGATTCTTCTTTATCCTCACCTGCACCTATCCTCTCCTTATTCTCTGTATCCTGCCTCCTTTCCTTCCTGCTTTTATCCCTCCTTATCTCCTCCTCCCTCACTGTTTTCACTCCCTCTTCTCACATCTCTCTCTCTCTCTCTCTCTTTGTCTCTGTCATTTTGTATGCAGCTTTCTCACATTCCAATGCATGAGTTCACCACAAGCGGATTTAGGTGGTCAAAGGTAACAAACCATCATCGCATGCCTCACTCACCTGTTCTTTTTATCTGATCTTTTTATTTCATTTTTCATTACATCCTCCACATTTTTATTTGAATAAACAGCCTGCTGTTAAGTTGAACAAAAATCCCTTTTTTCCGTCAGTCTTGACCAGCTACTGTAAAAAGAATTTCTTTATATGGAGGACCTTGATTTTTTTTTTTATTTGACAGAAAACCTCTTGTCCCTATTTTTTTTTTATTAGTTTTCTACCAGCAATAACTTTGTATCAATTATAGTGTGTAGAAAAAAATCCTCATCTTTCTCCATTCCTTTCCCTTTTCAATTCCTGTTTTTCTTCCATCACTCATCACCGTGTCAACATTGCAAATGTATAACAATATGTATGATACAGCAAGAGAGAAAAGCCTTTCTCCAGTGTGTAGCATCTTCAGGGAAGGCTCCTGTAGATAGATGAAAGGCAAGAGGCTTCGAGTGGCGGAGTGAAGAGAGAAGCTATAAAATGGAACTTCTCAGGTCAACAACCTGAAGATTCTGGTAGTGATGGAGGAGGTGCTGCCTTCTCCATTATTATTACTGGTAGTAAGAAACATTTCTCTACCCTGATTTCACTTTTTCAAGACTCAAGTCAGTTCTCTTCACCAGGTTAGTCTAATGTTCATAATCAAGCAGCAACCTCCTGCTCTGAAAACTGCAGATCCTTAAATGGCCACTTGAAGCTGCCTCTATAAGTGAGTCAGTCCCCGTAGACCTCCAAGTTAAAATGTCCAACTGTAGAGCACACATAAACATCTCTACAGCCTGATACAAAAAAAACTGTTTTGGTCTTTGTAACTAACTCTCCTGTTCATGACACTTATACAGGGTGCGAATCTTTATATAACTCACACGTTTGAATTGTGTTTCCGTTTAAAATGATGCCTGCTTTGAGTGACTGCTGGGTGTGGTCACTGCACAGTCCATGGCCCACCTCAGCTACATTCATGATTCACCTGTTGTTTTTTTCATTTTTAAATTCGCAGGAAGTTGATTTTGTCTTTTTCCTTAAAGCAGATGCTACTGATGACGTAGAACATCCTGGTATTTTTGTCAGACCATATTCAACATACTATTGAGACACACTAAATCTTTTCCTGGCGTACCATATAACACTATTATTGATACTGGAATGTCTTCTGAGCTTCAAACCTGCTCTGGAGGAAACCTATTGGTGACATCACAGTGGGTTCGCCTATTAGTGTTTGTTCAAAATGCATGCATGACCCCTAAATCCTTCATACATTTCTGTAGCAGAACACCAACAGCATTTGACTACTTTATCGCTCATTAAACGATGAGCTAAAACAACACCGACAAGTATCACTGCAGTCTGACCTTTTCATTTGCAGCATTTGTTATGAATTTATTTCACACGAGCCAGAACTCCATTATTACAGAAAGAATAACACGTCTTTATTGCATGGATTGTGGTATCTCAGAATATATTACAGAAATTAATTGGAAATTAAGTTCTTCAATATTCTTCAATAGGCTTTTTTCCCCCAATTTTACATGGAGTACTTCTACCAAAGTGTGGCCAATTAATCCTCATTATGACTTTCTAATTGACCCGGTTTCAAGTCGATATGTTTAATAAATTAATTCTTTCACATGGGCATTTAGAATATCCTCAATTCTCTGAAGCTAATCTTGCCTGCAACTTTATAAACAAATCAAAATTGACAGTACCAACAAACTGCAGTCGGTCAGTATCTGCTTCCAGTTTTTGTTGACGTTCACACACATCTACCCACACACAGGTGCAGCTGGCCTTCTCCCTTTCAAGGACAGTAAAAATTGGCCCATTGTTGGAAACAGAAACAGTCGTAGGTGCTGTGTTGGTCATGTGGGCACAGTTTGGCAGACAATGCTGCACCCATCCTGGGGAGCAGCCGATTACATGATGTTTGCTAATGGTGCTTCACATGACAAAACAGTTGCATTTGGTTTGCACCTTTGTTAGAAAATTCAAAACCCTGCAATCATGTAGTTTTTGTGTCAGAAAGGGGCTGACCAGGGATCCAAGCCAGTAAATATGACGTTAACATGTTCCTCTCAGAGATACACAGTGAAAGAGTCGAGGACCAGTGGTTAGATTTTTATGGAATTCCAGAAGGGACATGGAGGGAAAAAAAAACAGGGAGAGGGGGAAAAAAATAGAGGTATCTTTTGCAAGATCTTGCAAACTTTCTTGGGAAAGTCACGTCAATCTCATTGGATGTTTTTTTGAAAACTGTGCCTCTTGCTAAGCACTGTTGAATGTCTTTATATTTTCAGCCAATTTCAAATTAAAACTCAAAACTCCTGTGCGGGTGGGTGTCCTCCGTTGTTGCTTCTCCATACTGCCAGAAGGACCCAGAAGTGTACATACCAATAGTTTTCCTTCTTCTTCTTCTTCTTCTATTGATTTGGTGGTTGGCATCCAACATTCAGGTGCATTACTGCCATCTACCGACTGGAGTTACCTATAGTTTTGCGAGATTTCGCAAAAGTTATTGTGAGATCTCGAGAAAGTTTTGTGAGATCTCACAAAAGATACCTCTGTTTTTTTTCCTCTCCCTGTTTTATTTTTCTTTTCTTTCTCCGTGTCCCTTCCGGGGTTCTGTAGATTTTGAAGTAATGATTGAATACTTTTTTTTTCTGAGGTTAGGAATCCCAAATATCAAGTTATCAAGATGTCCGGTTACATCACTCAGCCGTAATCCCAAGTACCTAAAATGAGTTAAACTATTAACAGTAATGCAACACAGAGCAGGTTTTAGTGGTGGTTGAATTTGACTCAGAAAATAGTTGAAGAGTTGTCGTCAAAGACAGGATTTTCTTCTAAAGTAATGAAGAGTGTTCCACCCTAACTTCTGCTGTGCTGACTGTGTGAAGTTTTGAACAAAAATGAACTCAGTTTTGAGAAATGTGACTTTCCCAAAAACTCTAAAACTGAAAGGGACTTGACTTAGTTGGTGTTTAAAGAGCAGCGTCAGAGGAGTGCTGGCGGAAAATATATTGACCAGATCGGGTGTAAAAATCTGCAAATGAGAGGAAGTGACAGCTTGGGAAAGAAGACGGAGAAGACTGAAGGAAGGAATAGCAGAAATTCATCAACAGAGGAATTACGTGAAAACATGAGAGGAAAAGACTTTGTTATTGAACTTTCACCAAGCGTTCATTAAGGTCCTGTCATTCATTCATTGGAGTTTTCGCCCCAGTGATCCCATCTCTCTTGACAGGAGGTACTTTCAGATTCAGCTTATCTCAAGGGTTTTTACTTTTTATTTCTGCTGATGCCATGGCCTTTTTGGAGGAAATAATGGTTCACATATCTTCTGACTGTCTTTTTGTCTCATTTTATCCCTTTTCTTGCTTTCTTTCCTTCCTTCCTTCCTTGCAACTCAACACTTCAGAGAGACAGGGAGTATAAAAATGGGAACGAGAGAACGAAGTAACTAAAGTGAAAGTGTATACGTGCGTGTGATGGCCGGATCGTTTTTGCACCGTGAGAAATTCCCACTGACCTCACGCACATTAAACTGACACCCTGATATACGCCCAGTGAGGAAAGGGACAGAGATAAAATATGTATCAGAGAAGAGAAGGAGAAAGAGAAACAACAGAGCGAGCGAGAGAGGCAAAGAAAACACAGAGAGGGAAAATGACACGCTTGATGTTCTGCAGTGGAGCATCTCGTGTAAAAACAGAGAAATTATTAAAACATTTCAAGAAGCAGTTGCTCTCAGATGCACACGCAGAAAGAAACAACATGAACATAAAGTCAGATATCTGCAGAAGGCAAACGGAAAAAGTTGAAGGAAAGGAGAGAAAAAAAAAAAGGAAACGAAAATATTTACAACGTGTTACATCGTATGTGCGTTTGCGTGTGTCAGGTGGAGGACCTGCTGGTTGCCATGGAGAAGGTAAAACAGGAACTGGAGGTGATGAAAGCCAAGCTGTCGTCAACGCAGCTCTCACTGGCCGAGAAGGAGGGTCACCTGACCGCCCTGAGGGCCGAGAGGCGGAAACACCTGGAGGAGGTCCTGGAGATGAAGTAAGAAAATAAAAACACACATATTTTAATGCTTTTCTTTGTGTTAACGTGCAAACCAGCTGAGTATCAACACTGACTGTTTTATACACTGCACAAAAAAGCCTTTGTATAAGTCGAACTGCAAATTCATCAGCATCTTTTTGTCTCTCCATTTTCTATCTTTTCATGCACAAGTACACACATATGCTAAATGTCTGTTAACCCTCTGGAACCCAAATCCAAAATTGGAAAGGAAAATATGTTCATAAAATCTACAAAATTTCAACATTTGTCACAGCTAGAAACTGTAAAAACAGTAAAAATTGTCAGATTTTCACCTTCCTTTCTTGTCCTTTAACAGTAATATTCAATTTTGTTGGGAAAATTAACAAATCTTAGCCTAAAATCATTATATTTAATCAAAATCACTTATTCTCCATGTCTTGTTTAAAAGATGTCAAAAATGAACAACTTATAATGTCAGAATCTGTAAAACACAAAAAATTCTGTTCAACTTGACGCAACAAAAAAAGCCATTCGTGACTCAGCTTCCACCAACAGTCATGTGGCAACGATTCAAGGAACTTTCATTTGAACTGGGTTGAACTGCAGGCTGTGTTTAGACAGAGGAGAAAAGAGTCAACAAATTAAAAACATAAGTAGTAAAATATCTATAGTAAGTCAAGTTTGTTTTATTTTTTTTAAATGAAATTAGTAAGAAGAAGTTTGGCTTAAACTTTTCTTTTTTTTTTAAATATAGTTTAGGGCATTAAAGCTGTGTTAAACGACACAACAGACAGTCTTGGTTGTGCTGTTTCCACAGAGGTGCAGCACTTTGGGCCCACAGTGAGTAAAAATGTGACAGGATTCGAAAACGCCAACTTGGGCTTCAGAGGGTTAATGGGGTATTTTCACTCAGATCATAACAAAACATATATCTGCACAGGATTTGAACAAAGAACATTCCCAGTGAAGAAGAAGTTGCTTTACCACCACAACAGTAAAACGGTGGCTGGAACATTTTGATTGTACCGACGGGTGAAAAGTATTTTGAGAACTTTCTGTGGATATGGTTTGTTGTTTGATACTTTTTCTCCCCGATAAAATTTCGTTTGCCATTAAGAGACCATTGTGACTGTTGGGATCCCTTGGCAAACAAACAAACTGTAAAGTTTTCATTGCCATCTTTCAGCCTTTATGGGACGTTTCATATCGGTGGAGTATCCTCGTAGACGGCCATCAGCTGTGTAACTGCTGGTCTGGACTGTCCTACCGCTGCACTGCACTAAAATAGCCTAAAGTAGTCATATTAGAACCCAGCTTTAATGGTCCAGTAGTTCAGTAATGCTCGACCAAACATACAGCAGTGAATGCCAACGCTCTTTAGATAGTGCTGTAGAAAGATTTTGAGATCATAATGTGCATCACTTCAACAGTTTGGCTCAAGATTCAACATTTACAGTATAAAGTTTCCATCCAAATATCACATTAATCTCCAAAACTCAAACCTTCACTTTGCCTCGAATTAGCAACTCTCGATATCTTGACATCTCCAGCAGTTTCCCATGTTGCCCCAGCGTTCCAGGAAGGTGGTGACTGCTCTCATTGACTTGATCTTCACCCGACACCTCATTAACTCCCTCCTCTTATTCTCTCTCTCCTTCCGTCTTTTATCTTCCCTCTCTTTCTCCCCGCACTTTAAAGCCGTAGAAGTATGTTAATGCAATAACCATGTACCACTGTCCGGCTCTTCACATGATTGATTACATACACAGACACCCGCACACACGCACACACACACGTTGTAACTCAATGTACATTTTAATGCGATTTTAATAGGCGGGTTCGCATTTTTAAGTGCGGCAAAGAGGAGTCCAGGAGTCCGACGGTTCCATGTGTTTTCAGCGATTTTACATCCTCACTGAGACCTTACAACGAGGCCTGATTTAGTGGAACGACACTTCGGGCTGAAATAGAAGCCAAGGAGAATGTCCGTGTTAGCATGTCCCGCCTGTTTTAAAACCCCGCTGCGGGACAATCTTTAACCGTGGCATCATGGGAAACGAGGGCACGCACCGTGATTTAGTTTCCCTGCGCTGCTGCGTCCTTGACGTTTTCTACCAACGTTGCATTTCTGTGTTTTTTCTTTGAGAGAGAGAGGCAGCGTGTGTGTCCAGCAGCATGTCCATTCACAGTCCAGGTGAGCGGAGTTATTGGGCGTTTTATCGCCGCAGTAACGACCCGTGTGATTATTACAGGCATCAGCGCTTCAGAATGCGTGGCGTTGTTTTCGCGTGTGAACCTTGTGTACGAGGTTGTGTGCACTTGTGCAAGCACGGTGTGATTGATTTATTGATGTCAAGACATGTCCAGCTTTCCCTTTTATGAATGTACTGGCTCCTTGATGAATATTTATGTAACCGGCACAGAGGTGAATAGACACACACACATGCTCTCTAATATCGCGCACGTTCAGACCACACGATAACAACATGCAAACACACACACACACACACACACATGCCGACCACCCTATATACGGGAATAGATTTAACAGCCTCCAGTGGGCAGCTCAATCTGTGCTATCATTTAGCGTCACTCTCCTACCAGCTGAACGTACGTGCGAATGTGTGTATAAATATAATGCGGCTGCCATCAGTATTAAGCGCCCGTCACCACTTTGTTCCAGCTTGTATCCCGATCTGTGAGATGACTGTGAGTTTCCATACACAGATGTACTCTGCATGGAGCAAATATTTATTCTCCTGATCGCCTGCGGTGCTTCTGTAGCAGATACACAGACGGCAGCGTTGTGACTTATGCATTTGCCATGATCACTCCAGCGTTTAAACCCCCTACATGTTGCTGGGACATTTTATTGTTTCTGTCCAACTGCATCTTTGCCTTGTTGTTTTATGTGAGAACGCTGCATTTCACATAAGAAATAGCATGCTGTCAAAAAGGAGCGTAGGTTTTACCAACCAAAGAAACAAAAAGTATATGTGTTGTTAAAGCCCGGCGACCAAAGGACGTGAGTTTTGGACCCATAACGAGAGGGAGACAGGTTAAAGCAGGGGTGATTCAAACGATCAGCTCATCATCAAGCTCTGCAGAAGCCTGATAACGATCCTGATCATTTGAATCAGGTGTGTTGGAAGAGGGAAACATCTAAAACATGCAGGATTGTGGCCCTCGAGGACCAGGACTGGACACCCCTGGGTTAAAGGGAAAACAGGTTTATTTGAGGGAATCCGGGGAAGTGAGGGACACCAGGAGGCAAGTGAGGCATCCGGGGCAGGTGTGTAGGCTGTAGCCAAGGGAGAAGGGTGATTTCCCATGCAGGTGCTCGTGGATGGGAAAGTCAGACTTCGTGTTCTGCGGAGTGAAGGCTGGCGTGTGGATGCTTTGGGCCAATGGAGGAGACGCTGGGGAGCAGGGAGAGACAAACAGGTTACTCGTGAGCTCGAGAGTTAACCACATCAACTTAGCAAACATGACAAAGCGGCCTGATGTACCACTCGTGGAGTTGGCAGTCATCTAGCACTGCAGCCCAGGTCAACAGCGGCTTTATCCAGTGCGCTGATGAGGACAATGAGCTGCAGCTGTACCAGCGTGGGAGCATCCTCCTCCAACCAGCCCCGCCCAGCCTGAAACTACCAGCACAGCCAGCCGACAACACAAACAACAGAAATCCAGAACAATGCAGTAAAACAAGTCCATAATCACCACATGTGTATCATTTTTTAAAATCTCAGACAGAGGAGCTTGTTAGTCTTTCTCCCTCAAACTGTATTTCTACCCTACAAATACTGTTTACAGCTGGTATATTCTCTGCTGGTTTAAGTTATGTCCTAGTTGGGATTTGTTAAAGCACCTTTTCAAAACACGCTAGAAATTCTTCTTTTTACGACCTTCCTCAGTAGAAATCTGTTGTTGTTGGGGTTTTATTTTACCTTGTTGCTGTGTTTTTTATATAAAGGAAGACAAATAATGTACAAAATAAGCACTTCCAACCATTTACACCTTGAAACTGCAGTGCACCAACAACAACCTGGAAAACAAAAAGTTCTGAACAACGTTTTCAACGTATTCTTTTATGGAATCAGTTTCAATATGTATGGCTGAGTTCTTGCAATAATACAGATTGTCATTGTGGAGCAAAGAGCAGTTTCATAGTGTTTGAGCAGAGCCGTAGGTGAGCTGGTGTGCTTGAGCTGTTGAGATGAGAGAGAGAGGCAGGAACTATGTAGATATACCAATTCTAGAGGAGGCATCTAAGCCTTTTTAAGGCAGGGGGGATTATTTCCATGGAAAAAACCTTCTAAATATGCAATTGTGATGCACAGTGATGACTTTTTAGGAGTTAAATCCATGACCATAGGGGGACTTTGAAGACTCCTGTTGTCACTATGTGATAACTGACACAAAACTTTCTCAATGTCAAGTGCTACCTTTGTGTAGTTTGTTATAGTTTTCAGGATTCCATAATTCTATCCTCATATCTGGGATATTGTGTATCTAAGGCTAAATCTACGCTAATATGCTTTAACATTTTAAAGCAGCGTACTTAAAGGATCTCAGTCCAGACAAATGCTTTAGCTCAGTTTCAGAAATAATCTCCACACGTGCTAATACACCCTAAAAGGCATATCATATGACTTTTCACAGTCGCTGGGCGTGTAAGTACATATGTTAGTTGTAGAAAAAACTACCAAAAATGAACAGCAGTGGTGTTTACACTGCGTCAAGAAAGTTTCCGTTTCTGCCTGTACAGACTAAAACATAACCTTACAGTTTTCAAGCTAAAACGATTTCAGCAGCGTTTCCAAAACCCTGCATTGTAGGGTTCTAAAACGCCAGAGTAGTGTAGCAGTAGCTACAGGTTTTAGAATAAAAACCTATCAGTGTGGATGTAGCCTGTGTTTCTTTTCCCTCTGAGTGAAAAATATAGATGTTTCAGGTAGCTGCTGGTTGTCTCGCCGTGAGTTATGCTCCCGACACCGTTGCTCATATTTTTCACA